TTGGTGTTAAAACTCGGGAAAGTAAAGCAAGGGTTGATTGTACACAGCACGTCTGAAAAGGTCTTGGAACGATTTTTTTCAGGACATGATATACCATCGCTTCGCCACAATAGGAACTACAGTATTTACCTATCAATATTGTTATTTTTATTTCCATCTCTTGCAAAACATAGATTCGCACTTGCCGGGCATTGAACCGAGATTTAACTTGCATCTTGTAATAAAATCTCGGCATTTGCTTTTCACATTACATATCATTTAATACAATGCCATTCATTTGAGATTCTCTCTTTACCAGCCCATTAAAAAATATCGGCCTGGATTGCCTGGCAAATTTGTGGGGGATGCCGATAATACGATAAAAAATTATGTATTATATACACGCAATATTTTTATAGTCTTTACAGCTTGCTGTGTCAACATTTACAAATTTCAGGACATGGAATGACAATGTAGAACCTTAGACCCTATCCGACTAGGCTTAATCTGCCACCTTGACTGACGACCATACAGTTTTTGTCTGAAATATTTGCGAAAAAACCTTGTCTTATATTAGGGTAACTACAAAACAAACTGATGGTCTCGGAAAACAACAGTTAATTTTCCCCTCAGTTCTGTCTTCTGAGGAGAGCAATAGATAATTTTTTGAGCTTGTGTGCTTCAAGTTAGTCACCACACTAGAATGAAATAACGTGCGGCGATAAAGTACTATGGGAAAACTTCGCAGTTATCATTCAAGGTAATGAAAAGAGTTTATGGTGATAAATGCATATCTCAGTCAGCAGTGTAAAAGTGGTTCAAGTGAATCGAGGGAGGGACTGCAATTGTTAAATGAGAACTCAAGGTGTGGATCTTCTTCCACTAGCATCATGAACAAAAATGCTCAATGTGACCTGGATTTTTGTATCTAAGACAGGTGCGAGACATATCAGATGATAACTGGAGTTGATTATAAAAGCGTTGTTCCTACAATTTGCACCCTGCTCACTGCTGAAACCATGACTTTTTCCTGCTTCACAACTACATTGCAGCCATACAATAACGACAAAGATATTTTCTAGATAAAAATCAAGTGATAACTGTGACAGCCTCTCTATTCACCTGATCTGCCAATAATGAACTTTTTCACTTCTCAAAGCTGAAGACCCGCTTAAAATAAAGGCAACATGGGTCTATTTTCAAACTTTGAAATGCAATGACACCACCTAAAAAAACATGTCTAAAAGGTGACTTTTCAAGAGCATTCTAGAACCTGGTAAGAAGTCAGTTGTATGTTTAAAGAGGAGGGGACTATGTACAAAGTTAAATAAAAAAAATTCTGTGAAATTATTTTTATTACCACTTTCCAGGAACTTTTTGGACTTACTGTGTACATTAACATTTGCTAAGATCTTATTAGAAGTTATATGCATGTACTGACTGAACTTACGACAACTATGTACAGAGAATACTGTGCTTCACAGCAAATCCACCTAATATTCCCCACATTCCCTAAGAAAGATTTATGAAACTCCACACAATTATGAAGTTGCCTGTAGTAGTTAATTTGGTTTGCATTTTTTAATCAACAATAAATCAATATTTGAATTTTTACTTGTATAGAGTGAAATAAAACCAATTTCATAGCTGTCACATAGTAGTAGATCTGTTTACAGTTTTGAAAGAGAAATTAAATAATTCTTACTGATATCTGTGTACAATAAATTGTTTTCCAAACCTATATTCCACATACTATTTATAAAAACATTCAACTCAATTTTTCAACTTCCTACTAATTTGAGCACACCATTAATTTGATTTCAATGGAAACATCTAGTTCACTAGGGACAATAAATTAAGGTGACTATTTCAGGTGATTTCTCTCATGATTCTTTCAAATCACCCATACTCGTCATTTATCAGGCTAAACAGTAAATGTCAAACTTATGCATTCCTCCATCTGCAAACTAGGAAGGGGAGCATCAGTGATTACAATGGCGGTAACAGCAGCAAGTATGAGTGGGGACTGCAGAACAGGAAGCAATTCATTGAAATATGTAGCCTTCACTATAACCAAAGTATTCCTTGCCTTAAACTTGTCAGAATTGACTGTTGAATTAAAACTGTCCAAATTGACCTTAAAGGATAACTACAATGAGAGAAATTACCAAGTTAAATATGATTATGTGCACAATTGTTATATTTATAACGTTCACATCCCTCTCTTCACATGCACTATGGCTACATTCTGCCACAATACATGTGAAATACACTACAAAAGTTGAGAGCTAGAGCTAGGCATTTGTTGAATACAGAAGTCAACAACTACAACAAGAGGGTCTTCAAGCAGTACAGGAACAAAGCCCAAAGTTACAAGTTATCTAAACCAACTTTCCTTAAAACCATTAGTCCTTCCTGTGCTCCCACACTATTTGCAGAAAGTTCTATTTCTCAACAAAGACCAAATGTATTTCATCCACACTGATGAAAGAGATTCAATTAGAAAACCTGGGATTCAAGATAAAAATGGCAGATAAAAAGGCATTTAAAAAGTAGCCAACTTGTGTCAATAAAGATGTCCTAACTATTCTGTCCACTAATGCGTGCATGCATTTACAAGTACACAAGCATATTCAGAATCATTCCTTTTGTCATAAGTCAATGTTTAAGTCACATTTGACATTTTTCACAGGTGCACAAGGCAATAGGTTCGTATTAAAGTGTAACTGGTCTGGTGGGGTCCGTGTGGACCCCACGCCAGTTAGAAACTAAAAGCACCGATATAGTCTGCTGCGCTTCCTTATACTCCTTGTTCAAGATCCCCAGCAGATTGTGTCTGCTTTATGTCTAAAAAATATGTAATTATATTTTATTGTTCATTAAGTCTGTGTGGACCCCACCAGACGAGGAGTGTTAGTAAATTTCAATATTATATCTGTTATTTCACTTCTGTATCTTATTTGTTTTTTCTCCATATTTGTTTTTCTGTGAATCGGTCTGTGTTCTCTTATTGACAATGCATCATGACCAAAAGGGTGATTCATCAAACAAAAGGCCCAGTATAATCATTGATTACAACACCAAAGCGGGCATAGATGCACTTGGCCAACTACTCTGTGACTCGGCGAACACAGAGGTAGTGGCTTTTGGTGGCCAATGGTGATATTTTATACCATTCTTAACGTAGCAGGTGTAAACACTGGCATTCTCAAGTACTGCAATAAAAATTTCAAAAAAGAATAAAGTATAAAGCTGTTGATGGAACTTGGGCATTCACTTGTAACTACACATTTCATGTCCTGATGTCTGTCCTTTGCCATGTGAAATGTGAGAAACTTTACTGAAATTTGGAGGCAAACAACTTGAGAAAAACCTTAATGAACACACTCGAGCATGAAAAGCCAGATGTGAGGTGTGCCCAAAAACAGCAGATAAGAAAACTAAAAATTGTATGCATCAACTGCACAAACATATTTGTGATGCAAGATCTATTCGTAAAAATTGTATTTAAATGTAAAAATATAACCCATTACAATGTAAATAGTCACACAAGTGATATTTTGAAAATAATATTTCAAGTTCTTACTGAAATTTCTTTTTATAAAACAGGGTCTACCCAGAGCCCACCAATTAAAAATATTATTTTTCACCCGACCAGTTGCGGGTTAAGAAGTAGAGTAAAATTGTGAATGAAACTACTTAAAATGTATGATTAGAAAGAGTGAATGTTACATTTCAATATGCTGAAATCAATTATCTCCGATTAACTGAAGAATTATCAAAGTGTAAAAAATTTCTGTACTCGTTAGGAAAATATTTATATCACTGTCATGTTTTTGGCACCCATAAAGATCCCTTTTTCTGTAGACCTACATTTACTAATAATTTATTATTGATTTATTTATTTATCTATATCTGATGATATTAGAATCAACAGAAGTTGAGAAAGTTTTGAAAGTCAGGATATTACGTTTTATTTATACAGAATTGGAGTATGCAAAAAGCTGTACTTTCCATACTAATTAACATTGCTTCATTCAATTTGCAAGAATTTGTGCTAAATCTCATAAACCAAATCATAGTGTAATCACACAAATTTATTTTGATAATATGATTATATTCAAGCCTTACATTCTGCTTTGTCAAGTAATGAATATTCATCAATGCTTGTTTAATCAATTAAGTAAACTCGTGTTTGATCATCAATTCCAATGGCAGCAAATCCCCCCTCCCTCCCCCCATAGCGGCACTCAATTATCCTTCGTTCAATTTTAAATTATGAGAATTAATAAAAAAAATAAAAACAAAAACAATTTTGTTTAAACCAGTCACATTTATTCAGAGAATACAACTCTTTATTTAAATTAATTTCATATTCGGGAAAAATTATTTAGTATTATGAAAAGTTTTCAGCATTAACACACACTTATTTTTCCAGATTTAAAATTTTGAATAAAAATAAAGAACATTAATTAGGCATTAAATTTATTTTTTTTAGAGTAGGAAAAATATGAATTGTGTATTAATACTCAGAAAGCAAGATGACTATTATTTCAATTTTTCACCGAATTAGATTAAATGAAAATTTCTGTTGGATATCTTCATTTTAATTAAAATCAAACAAATCATTTAAACATTAAAATGAAATTACAAATCTTGTTAAGAATTGAAACAATAATAATTCTTATACAAGATTAAAAATAGTCTTAAAGACAAATTACAGATAGTAAATTAATAAAATAATGTAATTAACAAAATGGAATTAATTTTGATACAAATTACTTTGCAATTAATTTGCAACTGGCATAATACACCATCACCCCAATAAAACAGTAATGTAGGACCATCAATATTACAACAATAAATTTAATATAACATTAAAAGTTAGAGTAATAATTAAGGAACTTTAAAAACCTTTAAATATATGTTCACGACTTTGCCTAGCACTTCAGAAACTAATGCATTGTAATGTGCAAGATGGAGGAAGAAAAATGCAACATGAAAAACACAGTGCCACTAACCATCCAACAATTCTTCAACAGCAGTCCGAACTCCTTTGTCAAATGCACGAGCATCAGCTGCAGTTTGAAACGTCAAGCCAAATTTCTTGTCTCCGGTTTTCCAGTGATGGAATGTGGGCATTACTTTGTTATACTCAAAATCCTTCTTAATTGTACAGCTCAACACAACCTATGAAACAAACATTACAATATAAGACCACAATTGTGATAATACACATTTAACATATTGTACAATATTATCTTAATCATTTTCAATACAGCTTTTATATTGAGAAATTAATTTTACACAATTATACAATAAATTTTTCATATTAAATACTCCAACTACATATAAAATTAATTATTCATTAGCATTGCCTTTTATTTTCAAAAAATTTTGAATTTATAGTTAGAAAGCAATGGGACATTTTCATCTGTAATAATTACACAAAAGCTATCCTCTCCTTACATAAATCTGGAAAGTCACTCGCACACTATTTAATAATAACTAATAAATAACTGTGATATGAGGGCTTTAATGCAGGAACAACTGAAACACTGATAAAAAAATCTTAAATAAATATTAAATTGGTATCACCGATCCACTAAACCCATTACATATCAAAACAAATTCACAAGCCGTAATTCTGGACTAACAGATATTAATATTTTCGGGCAACAGGTGAACGTCAAGGCAAGGTGATTGCAATGGCTGAAGGGCAAACTCAAACAAAAACAGACCATTTCTAAATACCTTGGGATTCATTAGAGATCACTGTCTCTTTAATTCACTATAATTCTGTTTAGATCTTTAGTCTGATAGTTTCAACAGAGAAAGTACCATATCTACCTTGGTCTATGGTTTAAATACATGTCTGTCTTTACTGTGATTATGTTATGTTATGTTATAATACAAAGCAGTCCCTTTTAATTTGTTATATTACAGTTTTCAGAGACCTCTGTATCAATGTCCATTTCATTAAACGAGAGGAGACAGAATTTTTCAGTTTGTAAGTTTTAATTTTAAGAAAATGAAAAAAGAAAATTAGAATCTCCTTGGAGACTTGCGGAAAAATAATTTTGTTTACTTGAAATAGGGGCAACAGTGTTCAACAGAGTATCCTTTTTAAGAACTTTCAAAAAATGTAAATAACCTAAAATCTGTTGTTTTTTTTGTACATAAAACTGGGATATATTTGAATGGTAACACTACTTCTATATTTCCAGGAAGGACAAATCTTGTGATTGTCAAGTACTGTGGACTAGTATGTGTATTAAATTAAGATGATATTTTCTTTTGATCAAATATGATAGTATAGATAATTATGATATATACCTTTGTCAGTAAATTTTAAAGTAGTGTTTAATTATTTATTCAGGTAAATCTTCCAAAACAGAATGACGAAGGATGACATTAGGGGGTCATCAATCTGATAAAGGGAGTAGATTGGTCCAAGCTAGAATAAAATATGGATTTGTTCCAAGTGTATAATTATCATAGTTTTTTAAATTTTATTTTGTGTGATTCACACACTTCAACTAATCTAAATGACTACTGTTCCTTATTACCTCTTCCATTATTTATACGATGGACCATGTGGTCACAAGCCTACAAAAAGTGAAGATTATAACGGCATTCACCTCTCATACTCATAAATTCACTTAGTTCCTCATACTCATAAATTCACCTGGTTCAATGAATTAAATAGAGAACTTGTGCAATTAAAAAAATGTATTATGTCTATTTTACCCATAATATATTATTGTCTGAATAAAGCAACTAAAGTACAAAATTGCATTTCTTATTTCATTTCTCAAAGTTTCAAGTTTACACATATGCATAAAATACACAAGCTTGCAAATGCATATAATGTATAAGATTTTGAATCAGTTGTATTTGTAATCAATTTAAATATTTTCAATTATTTTTATGTACAATTAATATTTGTCACATAAATAATTGTTGTGAGGTTACAAAGATTATTCTCACGAATAATCTTTGTATAATTTTATGTTATACAAAGATCTTGAATAAATAAAGAAATACTGTAAATATGTAATATGTTATGTAAGTTATATATTGTTGTCAACAGATCAGACACACAATTATATACCAATTCCCGAGCTCCAAATGTAACAAAATTAAGAAGAAAAATATAAGAAAATACCAATCCTACTGGACAAGACTTTTTTTATACATTTTGTCAATGTGTAATCTGCGGGTTGGGGTAAATAACTCATCAGTTCAGAAGTAGGCAGTGCTGACTGGATGAAGTTACCATATTGGGTATTAATTCGTTTCAATGCACACACACACACACACACACACACACATTCACAAATTGCTGGAGAATTTGAATTATTTACCATTTTGTTTTCTTTCGGAACAAGTAACATTTTCCCTTTTGACCTCTGTGTCTATATCAATTCCTCAAGATTCGGCCTAGAAACATATTTTATTTAGTGTAGAAAATTATTTAAATCTTCATCCCATCCTCACCACTGTTCGCACATACAATTCAAACTGCCAACACATTATATAATTTCCTTATTATGCATAAATACTGTAATTTCAGTTGACATACTGAAAGTGATGTTCTGCAAAACAGGAGTGCATCCAACAAAGTACATACGAGTTACAGCCAGGATTTGAAATGCTGTCTCCTAACATGAGGAAAAACATTTTAAACTGCATGTAAATAGAAGATCTTGAATGTAAAACAATATTCTGGCCTAACTTAGGATATCCAACTTCCCACTTCCTTGACTAACTGATTAACTTGACTCTACAAACAAATTAAAATAAATTGCATAATAAAATACATAAAAAAAACTCCTAAATGCATGAATGCAAGAATTCCAAAAGCTTTGCACATACCATGTCTGATATAGTAACAACACATGTAATTCTGCAAGACAAAATTCTTTTGCCATGCCATTTGAGACATAGCTGTAGGAAGTTGCTGAAAATAAACGAAAGGATTTGTGATTGGCCATTCTTGGTGCAACAAATGGAGATTTTCACTTCATCAATGCTCTGTCTCCGGACTTATCACCATCGACAATTAATGTCTTTATCATCTATTCTGATAGGAACAATATAACTTACAAAAACAAAAGTTGTTAACTAAAGTCATTCTTATCAGATAATGCTAAATGTTTAACCAAATGCACAATTTTAAAATATGTGCACTCACACTTCAAATTTTTTCCCTCTTCCCAACCTCAAACAATAAAATCTATTATGCAGTTCTGGAGAGAATAAAATCATTTTAATGTAATTTCATTTCAATTGTGTGTGTGTGTGTGTGTGTGTACATCACTGCCAAATACACTTGACATATTTTTTGTTCCTTCATTTGCACATGTCCTCTTATCATTTTGGTTAAAAGCCTCTTATTCCAGTTACATCTTTTTAATGAACCCATCTATGAGTTGACTGGCTCAATAGAAGTTTCAACTTTACCGCTGGTTTCTGAAAAATTACATAATATAACAATATGTTGGCCCCATTATCTTTAAAACATTTCAAAAAAAACTTTCTATTTTTCAAAGTACACAAAGTAGTAATGAATATAAGGTAACAAAAGGAATATACCGAGTTTCTTGCTTTGGGAATTCTACAAGAAAATAGACAAAAATAATACAGACTTCTACTATAAATGTTCAATAAATTACAAATATCTGAAAAAAATTAATCCACTTCCAATTAATAGAAACATTTCCACCAGGCCTAAAAGTTTTCCCAAATTGTTTCTAAGGTAAAGGGTAAAATGTCCAGGCAAATTAGCAATGGAGATGCAGCTTTTTAATCCCCATTCATCTTGTGAACACAACTGTCACATTTCATATGATGTGCAACATCACTATTATTCAATGTGTTGTCCATCCACAGGAGATATTACTATTTTTACTTCTGATTTATTTCTTGCCAATAACACCACTTCCTTTCATTAACATTCCACAAATCTCATTTCCAGACAATTTTTGCTTCTTCAAAAACAATATTTTTAGTCAATACATTTCCTTTCTCTTACAGTTACTCATGACATTTAAAATATGATCAAATTTTCTTGAAAGACTTTTATAATTCCTATATTTACGGACCAAAGATTATGCTCATTATCATCATCACTCGAGTATTGTGAAATTGACAAATAAGTGTGTTTCCCACAGCTTTTTAAGTACAGTGACATCTGACTTAAGCAGTCAGATGATCAATGAATCAAATAAAAATTAGTTGTTTAATCAAGGTTATGATGTTATTGAAACTGTAAATCAAACCTGATTGCGCCAATTGCTATGAAAGCTCCTTAGCATTTTTAATTATCATAAATTATAATTTCAACAAGGCATTTAAGATCATTTATCCTCCTCTCAGCTAATATTAAAACACACCTCTGACATTTCCACTCATTCTTTCAGTTGAAAAAACTTACTTCATTGAATATAACAAGCAAATTTGATTCGAAAATGCAATTCACATTCTGTAGAAACTTTACCACAGGACCATCTGACAGAGTTGGGAAATAATCTTCAAATTGGATTATGCACACAATCTCCTCCACTAGTCCCCAACAGATTCCCACAGAAGGGATGTTCGAGTTAACCAAACACAGAAATGCTGTGAAACGGAGAAAGGAACACACTGTTGTTTCATTAGGAGACATTCATTAAAATTATCTGTTATTTCAAATAGAAACAATTCCCCTGCGAGCTAACAGACTCTGGATATAATTATTCAAAGTAATCTGACAATGTGTGTTGCCACAAGAAGGTATTAAATCAATAGTAATCTCCACCATTTTTTTGCTTCTAGAAATAATACTATTGAAAATTTTTTGAGATGACTTAAATAAAGAAACTATAAAATGTGCATGACCAATGGTCATATAGTCAGGTTGCTGTTGAAAAGAGGGAATATTTATGTTTTGAGGGAAAATCAATCAGTTCTACAAACAAAAAGCAGTGTGAGGCGACCACTTAATCAAGTGACCTTTTGGACAGATTTCACTACATTACAATCTTTTAAATATTAAAGCTCACTTCGTAATACTCCAATTATCACCAAGATATTTTAAAGCTTTTTAAAACATAAAGAATTTATCAAAATGCTTTAACCTAACTTTGTTCTTTTGCCAAAAAACTATGTCTGAAACCATCATCTTCATAAATCAGGATTTCCCCCCCAACTTCATGAATATTTACTTATACTCATTAAATGACAGCTTTAAAAATTTTCACTGGCAAAATTTACAACAAAAGTTTTAATCATATCAAATAAAATGTTTGCAGATTTTTGTTATGAAAGAACAAATGACACATTCTCTACAAAATCACAAATTTGGATTTTATATCAAAAACAAAATGTACAAATGTTTATTCTTACCGACTGATCTGATATCCTTTTGCCAAATATCAGGTATTCATGTTTGCCCTCGTCGACTTCACAAGGAAGTGCCCGTTTTCGTACAGACACGTTGGAAAGGCCCCCTCCACCCATGGGGACCCAGCCACCCGTGCTGTCGTCACGCATCATCACCTGAGCCCGAACTCGAACAAGATAGTTCCCACTGCAACAAAAAAATCCCAAATTAGGATTGGTTAAAAAGCAAACAAAATTGCACATACACAGAGGACAGATAAGTGAATTAAAAGGAATAATACTTCATGTAATAGTACATGTCAAAATGTCTACTTAACGTGACAGTGGAGGCCACTGTGATAAATACATGACACAAGGAAGGTCTTTTAGTCTTTTTAGAAGATAATGAATCATTATCATTTCATTAAAATAATAAAAAATGTTGTAATGCTCCCATGGAAACTACTGAACAGTACTTCAAACTGACGTACACTTAATATCCAACTGGTTGTTGGCACAGAAGTCAACTCTATTCTTATATCAAGCATAGTCTATGTTCAAACACTGTAATTTTGACACTTATCTACAAGCTCTTGTTACCCTTCTAATTATGATTAGTGCATCAATTTTGACAAAAATTTAAATACATAAAAAAGAAACTGCAAACAAACATATTGTAATACATGAAGATGAAAACCCATTTAATTTCAGAGATATCTTAATGAATAATGAACCTGCAAATCTTGTACACAATTTTTCTTCCAGATATGATAAATGTATTGTAACAACCGATGAAAATTTTGGATTAAATGAAATTTTTTTTAATTACATACAAAATTCTGAACTTTATAATGAACAGTATCCCACTTTATCTAATACTAATAAAACAGTAAGGCAACTGATTTTTTCTCAGAAATTCTTTCCCTACCTCATTCAAGTTTAGTTCCTAAAATTTGTACTTTAAAAACACAAGCAATATAAATTCAAGCGTTTCCACTTGTTAACTTTTGTTTATGTTACAACTGCAACAAATAGAAAGATTCTAAACCACTGACATTTCTAATACTGAAAAAGCAATTCACATCTTTGTCCATTTGTAATTAAACCTCTGTGCTACATAATATAAAAATTTTGAAGGCTATATACAAGCACCATTCTAAGTACATGAAATTAATCTGTTGGGAATACTCATGGCTACAATAACTCCCTTTAAATAAACAAACAAATCTTTTAAAAAGTTAGTTGACAACTACATAAGTTTATGACAGTTCTAGTATTTTGACACGTACCCGTTTCCAGTCAAGCAAACTTGATACCAATGTCACTACTTACAATGGCGTATTTGAAAAGTTAGTACAAGACCGTCAATAACCAAACCATGCAACTGCCAACTATCAAACATATTAGTGAATTAACTGACAGTTCTAATAGAAGTTAACTGTTAATTTAAAGTGTTTTCTTATTATTGTTTTTTTAAGCAATGTGGATTAGTATGATTAATCGAGATAGAATAGTTTCTCACAGGCTTAAAAATGGATGGTACACAAAACATATTACTCCGTAATTCCAAAAAAACTTGTTCTAAATGATGAAGATATGATCCTAAACAATTGTTAGACTGATAAGCAATGAAAATATACACACATTCCTAAACACTTGAATAAGTTACAATGCTCAAACATGAAACTGCCACTGTATATAAAGAACACATGATTATCTGAAATTGATGTACATGTGAATGGAGCCACACATACATTCAATATCTAAATATTTTAGATTTCTTGTCACACGCATCATTCTATACTAAAACACACTAAACATCACTTGTGAGATGGGAACAGTGAGAGATGGATTTTCAACGAATGTCATCTTGGAATACTAGGCTATAAGATTCACTGTCGGAACATCGGTCTCCTACTCACTCCGATTCCATGAAAGAAGGTGGTAAACAAGTAGACACATAATCTTCTCGCACGCCCACGAAGGTAATTGAATCGGAGCCATGCATCAGAGGAAGAAGTCGTTCATCGATATGATGAACGCCAAACGTTGGGGTTATGGACAAACACTAATACTTTAAGCTTCATTAATATATCGCTAAATGACATTTTAATACATAATAGTTGTAAACGATGAGTGAACAGAAGTATACGTGCCAAAATTGATCCTTTTAAGTACAAATCTATTGTGACCTAGCCCTAATTTTCAGCACACCAACAACAAGTAATCACTGTAACCACATAACTACATTCATGACACATTACTCACTCTTCATATGCCTCTGTCATGATTCGCACAAATATATGGTCTAGTTTCGCCCCATTTCGCGCCTGTCTTCACCATTTTTGGCGCATGTGAAAGACATCAGCCACCACTCGCAATAGACAGGAAGTAGACTGCCTCACTTGCCCTGAGAAGCTTATATCTATCTCTTGAATGATGTCATTGCGCATGTCCGAGCTACCATTCCAATAAAAATATAGTCCGTCGTGCATGCCGTACGATTATTGGCAGTTCAATTTGAAAACATGAAATCTTCTGCCATTATTCGCGATTTCGAGTGTTCTTGAGTAGAGGAGGTGGTTCAATAAAGTCAATTACGGCCAGAACATGGCGATACTTTCCTACAAAACCGTACAGTGATATAAATATGGAGACTGATCTCTCTGCCTTCTCGATGCGTTTATTAAGAATGTGTTCAATAAGTCACTTGGATATGGGCTAAATTAGAGTTCTTAGAAATCGTGAAACATTAGTTTCGTTTAAGAATTTCTGCTAATAGAGGAGAAAGCTGCGACACTGATCTCTTGGAACTAAGTCCCAAATGAAACTTTTTCCAATCAAAACTTGCTCATTCACAACACCCCTTTTTCATGTTTGTGAGATACATTCAATAATTTTCCTTCATTGAACCACTTTGTGATATATTTGACATTATGAGAAAGTATCTAGTTCCCCTGATATTCCAATAAGGGTAATGTTTGACAATATTTTCAGTTACATTTATGTCCTATCCAAATGTGATTTCAATGAATTATCAATTTCAATAAAAGAAATAAAATAATATTATATATTGTTTTTGTTACTTCAATTTTGTTTGTTCATTATTTTTAAACTTATTCTGTTAATTTTAAAAGTCTAGAGGCTGCAGTAAAGACCTCGTAGAAATAAAAATAAAAGAAAACAGGTCTTTGGTTAATCAAACAAAATTCTATACTTTAAATAAAACAAGGCAGGATGAAAAATATGTACTTTAAATTAAAGAGCAAATGATTTGCGCAGAAATTATAGTGAATAGGCTAATATCTTTCATGAATAAATAAGCATTAGGAGAACCAAACTAAAACAAATACAGAAAAAATAATAATAATAATAACAATAATAATAATAATATAGAAATAAAAAATGTATTATTATTATTATTATTATTATTTAATATTTATTTTGTTAATTGTCTGCCTTTTGTCATTTACCTATTGCCACTTTGTGTGATTGCCAAATAATGTATTATTGTTTTTGTATTTTTAATATTTTGCATTGCTTGTATTTTTAATATTGCTGGTTTTTTTAACCATAAGGGAATCTATTGGCTTATTGAGCTAATTAAATGGTAATTGCAGAAGTACAATTATGATAGACATTTGAAAGATTTATTTTTATTATTTATACTTGCTAATTGGCTAATACGATTGAATTTCTTTTCTTTTACTTTCTCTCTTTTGCTTATCCAGTATTGAGAAAGTATTGTACTGCTGCGGGAAAAAAAAAAAAAAATTCACAGAAAAACTCTAATTGCCGGACCGTGGTATTGAAAAGTGGATAAATCTAGCCCCTATACAGTACATAGTAAATTACTTCCTCTAACAGATTGTGTGATCAGTATCCATGTTTAGTGGGTCCTACATATATACCGAAAAATCGATTGAGCGGCAAAACGACATTTGCCCGTCCGTCAGTGGTCGAAGCTAGCGCATAAACCGTTTAACCTATTATCTCCAAAATTGATATTTCCCAGTCGATCTGACTGATATCGCCGCTCCCGGAATTAGAAACCGATGTATTCGTTTTGGGGGTACTTTCCATGAAGCGCCTCGGGCATTTTCATAATTAAAAAAACAACCGATAATGGAAATACGAACGTCAGAGACAAGCCAAAAAAATGTTTGTTATTTCTGAAAAAAAAAACAAGAATAGAGCAATATGGCGTTTATGGCATCTTATAGAGTGCATTAGTACTATCCCTACCAAAAGTTAAAAGAAACAATTTGGGGCATTGTTGAGAAAATCTTAGTTTCGTAATTTTTTAATATTGCACGCAATATTGCTTGAAAACTACTAAAATTTCCAATAAAAATGTACATAGCATTAATGAAACGACTAATTATCAGCAACAAATGTTATTTAAAGGAAAAACCTCTATATTCAATTTTGTAGTTGTAGGAAGACGCAGGAAAAATTCAAGCTTTTGCAATTTTCAAAAATTCAGAGTTAAGAGTGAAAATCGGACCTATACCATCTTTATAAGTGTATTTTACTCAAATCTTACAAGAAATTTAAAAAAAAATTGGAGTAATTTTTTTTAGAAAATTGAAAATGTCCGGAGGACTTCATGTAAAGAAATTTTTTGAAGAGATTTTCAAAATAGCGGCGCTTCGAGTGGTGACAGATCGGCCAGAGAATATCCATTTTGTTAAAAATCGTACGTTAGTTTTGGCGCTAGTGGTGTTCATAGACTGACAGACGGGCGGACGTTTTGAAAAACAAAAAACAAAAACAAACAAACAAACTTCACAGAGACTGTTGTATTTCCGTTGAATCTCAAAATCGATTTTCCGCAGAATTTCATAACTTTTCCTATAAAACGTATATTACTTCGTTTATATATACGAAAAAGTAAAAATCAGCTCTTTAAAAGAGGTGATGTACAATTTTTTTTAATAGATAAATAGGATAGTTTTTGCTAAATTTGCGCTTGTAATTTATGCAATTTTTAATAAGATTATTTTCTCCAAAACTGTTCCAATTTGTTTTCCACGGACAGAAGAAGGGACGCCTAAAAGAACGGCGAGTCTAATTTTCGTTGAACTTTCCGTTTGTTCGAAAAAAAAGCAAAACTTGAGCATTTGTAAACTACAAAATGAGACAGAGATTTTTGTTTTAAACAAAATCTGTTCAAAAAATCAGCTCATTAATAATATCATTAACATTTGTTTGAAAAAACTAGTAGTTTTCGCGTGATATCTGCCTGAAATTAATGAATTTATATATATATATATATATATATATATATCATATGTTAGTATATATGTGTGTGGTGTGTGTGTGTGTGTGTGTGTGTGTGTGTGTGTGTGTGTGTGTGTATGGACCACGAGAAAAATCCTCGGAGAAGAAGAATGGATCTAAAGGATATGTAGAAAAAAATTTAAAATAATAATTTACTATAGAATATCACAATATTAATTGAGGGGTTGGCCGGCGTAATCCCCAAATCACAGTTTTAGATAAAAAAACCAAAACTGTATAAGCTCCATTTCTCACATTAAAAAAATCCTTTGTAAGGATGAGAAGGTAAACTAGTGGTGCTAGTACAAGACGTACTTTCTGGCCATGGTTATGTAATACTATTTCTACCACAATTTCTCTCCTAACTATTTTTTTGTAAACACTCATTAGCAATCGTAGAACATTTGGTGCGAAAAATAAGCAGTATGCAAGAAAGTAAAACACTATGATATTGTGATATTCCATAAATATATAAAAGTATTTGTTTTTATTTCCGCGAACTAATGCAGTGTTAATGCTTCCGCATCATTATCATCTTATCTGTGCGGCGCGACATCTCATTTATTTATTTTCTCATGTACACAATTAAATCAGGGTTTTTAACCAACATGAGACCTGCACCATTATCTTAAACGTCCTTCAGACCATCCACCAACAAAATTTCATGAAAAATGACTGAGCGGTTTTTGAGAAAAAAAAAAAGTTTATACAAAAATAAAAATTACGCGAAAAATATTCAAATTTTTGAAAAATCGTTCACGACATTATTTCAAAATCTATCTTTAAGGAATAGATTTCACTTTAAGGAACACATTTAGGGACAAAATCTCTATCTTTAATATTTTCGTTGTAGGATGACACCAAAAAAATTAAATTTTTTCAATTTTCGAAAAATCAGAGTTTTCAACCAACATGAAATCTACGTCATTCTCCTAAGCGTCCTTCAGACTATCCAACAACAATATTTAATCAAAATCGTTGGCGTCATTTGTTTGAAAATTTTGGAACGTTCCAGAGGCTTCATGCAAAATACCTCCCAAAATTAAAATATCGATTTCAAATTCAAGGAGCCGCAATATCAGCCAGATCGATTGGGGAATATCAATTTGGGGGGAAATAGGCTGAATGGTTTAGCCGCTAGCGTTATTCACAGACGTACGTTTTGCCTTCAATCAATTTTTCGGTATCAAGAACCCACAAAACATTGATTATGGCTGCATCACGTGTTCGATGATATTTTTCTAAATTTAGCAAGCGGATTTATCCACATTTCGTTACCAGGGCTCGGTAATAAGAGTATTTCGACGGAAAATTCGTCGTTTTTTCGCGCAACATTACACAATTTTCTCTTCTTAAGCGCGAGAAAGTAAAATATGTACATATTGCAGGAAAAATCATAATAGTAACTAATAGTAGCATAAAATTAATTGAAATTTTGAAATATGTGGATTTAAATTTGAAATTATTGAATTGTGATCGTATTGCAAGGAACATGCTAGTTCTGAAATAAACGAATGTGTTTCCTTCTATTAAAGTCAGAACATACTTATTAGTTCGAGAAATACAGAAGAATATGCATTTTTATTAGTGGCGGCTGATGTTCGAACAAACTGGAAGTTGCAGCTCCATCCAAAACAGCCCACCAATCCAAAAGAATCCATCAAATCTTGGGGGAATCCCCCAATCTGTCAACACTGGAAAATCAGATAATTCCAGGCTTCGAAAGTATTTGAACGTCTTTGAATTGGAGAATATTCTTATTCCATGTTCTTTGTTGATTGTGAAATGTTATCGTATTGCGATTTTAGATGGTTAGTCGAGATACGTTTTGTGTCAAGATACCTTTTTATAGTATTAATCAAAAGATTCAATCAACATTCTTCTATGTTCTGCTACAGTTTGAATTGATTTCACAGTCAGTTTTCGACTAATAAGACCGTAAAGTTTATCATTTTAACATGTGCTCTTATGGTGACTCGGCAGAATCGAGCAGATATTTTAAAATTTTGAGAAAACTACCTGTTAAAAGTCTTCTGAAAAACTGTTACTTAGGTAGCTATCATCACGAAAAATCAATGTGAGGAATTTGAAGAGCATCTATCCTTTCATACTGGAAAATTCTGCAAAATAACAAATAACAAGCCTTTGTTATCCCGAAGGAAAACGTTGGCGCGCTTTGCAGAGGAAAGATGAAAATATCCTTCCTCCTGGAAATCCTTACTTTTGATTTTAACCAGATTTCCAGCAAATTTGAAATTTGATAGATACGATGGTCTAGGCTCTAAATGAAACGCGCAAGCAATAAATATTTCGCATGAACCATCTCGATACTACACTCTTCGAGCAAATGGTTAATCTTGCGAGATTATAGATTATGTTGTACGTTCAGTGCAGCAACATTATTTTGCATTGTGCTGATTTGTGATTCACTTCAGGACAATGATTTAATTAGACAATTACGCATATTCACTGTATTTTCAACGAGATTCACGGTGGATTGTCATTGCCTTCCACAGCATAGTT